AGCTGGCTGGCGCTATCATCGGCAAGGGGGGCGGTCGCATACGACGAATCCGGAACGAGTCGAGCGCCTATATTACCATTGACGAGCCGCTGCCCGGCTCGAATGATCGCATCATTACCATCTCGGGCACGCCCAAGCAAATACAAATGGCACAGTATCTGCTGCAACAGAGGTTGGTGTCGCAAACAGACTAAAAGTATGCACCACAACTCCTCCATTATCCATATCGAGCTAACTGAAGACCCATACAGACACAGACACACACACACATACACACAGAGAGAGAGAGACAATCATACGTACATAGAATCACATCAGTTTCGTCTACTCGAGTGCTTTGCATCATTCTAACAAACCTAACCGTTCGTCGTATCGAGTGCTTGCCGTATGGAAGACTAGTGATTTTGTTGTTTGGTCTCTGCTAATAACAATAAATCCCTTGTCTTCTTATGGCGCGCATTGAGCTCTTCATTTCAAATATCGTTAACGGTGGTGCCACAACTAACTAAACTAAATAATAATGACTAAAATATACTAAATCTCGGGTCTATTCATAATCTCAATCCCATACACACACACACAGACATACACAAATCAGTTACATCCACAGTGAAAACTTGCTTGAGTTGAACAATAATAATGCTAATTAATCAATGTTTATGTTAATGTTTTATTTATTTCATTTGTAAAGACTTTTGGGGTCTAAAATTATTGAGCATTTCGTTTATTTAACAACTAAATTAAGTCATCGTAGCTTACTAGTTGTTCCTCAATCGAGTTTTCACTGTAACCGCACATTATAGACTAAGAAACTCCCTTAATAATTCCGCCCAACACTCCAAAAACAAATTTTATTAATGTTCTCATTACAACTCTGCTTTTCTCTCTCTCCCTTTTTTGTCTCTTTCCAATCATCTCTCACTTTGCAGCGTGCATGAAAACGGAAGGCGAAACATTTAAGTGGACTGCAACAACAACAACAACAACAACGTATAGCGAAGTAGCCATGGAAGTGCAAAAGCTGCGTTCACATTTAACTTAATTGCATAAAAACAAAAACAAAAAACTTACTAAAAAATATAAAATAAAAATGCAACTGATTAAGGATTGTCCCCAATATCTAGAGAGTAAAATTATACTATAATAATTCTTTGCTAAGTTTAAGTAAACTCTACAAAAACCTTCCCCCGCTACATAAATGTGCTCCCAAAAAGCTCGCCCCTTAAGAAATTCTCTATATACATATACAAATACAAATACATATACATATATATATATGATTAAGAAGCATGAACAAATAAAGTATAAAATAAAGAACGAAACTTGAAGTGGATATTTTTCCGGGCCTGGCGCAGGGAGTCGAACTCTCTCCGCCGGGAGGCCCAGCTGGAGGCCACCGGACGGGTCGCAGGTTGCGGATAGCGAACGGCCTGCCAGGCGGCAGGTTAGCTGCGAATAAGCAGCGAGCGTCTCGCCGCCCAATAAGCAGCCCCGGACAGCCAGCGGATGGGGCGGCTGTCTGAGCAGGCGCCCTATCGACCAGGCGCTTGTGGGGCCGCCTGTCAAAGTATAGCCCCACACACTCGTTCCGGGCCGGACCAAGGTGTCATTCGAACCGTGCCGATGGTCGGCCAGGCTGGAGGCCCGGCTCAACAAATATTCCAGTCGCGAACGGCGAGCTCAGGCACTTGGCCAACGCCTGTTCCATGTTCGGCCTTACCCGGGTAACGCGGATCTCTGCCCGGGCGGACCGTTTGTATATCTCCGCAGCTCGTGGGAACCAAAGCAAAATGAATCGAAAATTTAACTACAATAAAAACAAAAAACCAAATCAAAATCAAAATCAAATGCCGCAACGCTTTAATGCGGGCTACAATTCCGGAAGGAATACGCAGAACATGCCACAGTGGCAGCACGAGCAACAGCAGCAAGAGTTTGGCATGTTCTATGAAGATCGTGGGGATAATCGCATGGAGCAGGGCATGCCCCACGGCTTGGCCTACGGGTCGAATAACCTGCCGGCTAGAGGGCCACAGTTCCGGCAGGAGCAGTTCAGTTGTGGTCCCATGGACGGGCCACAAGGCAATGGGCGCTGGCGCTACAATCGCAGTCCGGACGGAGCGCTGTTCAATCCCAGTCCGGAGAGAGGAGCTGGTTCGGGCTATAAGCAAGGCCAGCTCAGTCGTGGTCAGAGTCGGGAACGAGAACCGTCAGCGGGCTACCGTCCGAATCTTTGTAGTCCGCTGAGTGAGTCAGACTTTCAAATGAGTCTGAATCCGGGCAGGGGGCTCGGATATCAGTGCAGTCCGGAGCGCGGACTGAATCGCCATTTGGAGCGAGAGTACGATTATCAGCAATCAATGAGAAGTCCCGAGCGAGAATCGAACTTTGAGTCCACTCGCTATCCGGAACCGTATCGCAGGCAGCGCAGTCGCAGTCGCAGTCCGCAAGGCAGAGAGTTCAATGAAGCTGGACGACGTACTCGCAGCCCAGTACGCGGCGGTCGCGATATGTCGCCCACTTATCCGCGGGCGCATAATCCATGGCGTGCTGGGGGTCGTAATTCGCCGCCATTTGAACGAGCTGCAAGCCCGGACACGGGTTCCAGGTTCGGCCCAGACAATGGCAATCCAGGCGAATGGCCAGAATTGAACATGAATGGTAATGGCGACGGCTGGAGGAAACCTCGGAAAAAGTGGGAGGCCAATTTGCCTCCACTCGGACAGCCCGGCGCTCGGGATGATCCGAATAAGAGATTACTGAGCGGCTCACGTACCAAGTGGTACATGCGGTATCTGCAGAGAGGCTTCCCGGCCGACGAGGCCTTTCGCATGGCCAAAGAGCCAAAGCAGCCGGCAGCAAGTTACTTACGCGGTCCCGATTCGCCTGCCCCGCCGCAGCAGCAGATGCGCAACTGGGAGAGGCACTCAGAAGAAGATCTGGTAGAGGATTCCGACAACAACGAAGTGCTCGATACCTCAAACGAGCAAGAGCAAGTCAAAGGCGACCAATTGCAAGTCTGCCTGTTGCCCGTGGGCTATCCGCAGGCGAGGCTCAGCCAGAAGGACAAGGTGGATCTGGAGGAGGCCATACTCCAAGAGGTGGTCACAGCTGGCGTCAGCTCGTCAGCTCCGCTGCGCTTCTCGCGAATTCGCTTCAAGAACGCTTACCTTAAGGTGACCTGCTCGGATCGCGTCTCCGCGGACTGGCTAATGAGCAGAGGTGCTCATCTCTACTCCTACCACGGACATCCCGTGATCCCAAAGCTGGGCCATGTGAATGTGGAGAAGCCCAAGCACTTTTATGTGACGGTCTTCCTGGCGCGGACCGCGGGCAAAACCGATGAATTTATCTTTGCTCTGCTCAAGTCACAGAATCAGTACAAGACGCACCTGTGGAAGCTGATCTCGCGCAAAGATCAGGCCGAAGGTTCACACCTCGTCATCAGCATCGATGCGGAGAGCGCTTCCGATATTGCGGCCAATGGTTACAAGCTCTTTTATCGATATGGCAAGGTGGCGGTGCATGGACTGAAGAAGAAGTTCGGGGATAAATCCCCGCCCCGCAACCCGAAAGCGTCGGCCAATTGTGGCAAGCGAAATCCAAAAGCCAAGCCAGCAAAAACCGTCGTGGAAGAAAATCCAAGTTCAGTGCATGCAGTCAAGTCGGATCCTGCTCGGGCCGCAGTGGCGGCTGAATCGCTACCCTGCATCGATCTGGCATCCGATGATGATGTTATCGAAATCTGATCTTAACTGTATCTCAAGGGCTTCTGCCCGTCGAAGTATACACACACAGACACACAAAGCATGAACTAATTCTTCCATTATAGAAATAAATGCGTTTTAGTATTAACTCCTCCATTTGCTCATGTTTTATTACAAGTTTTTAATTTGAGTTTTTACCACATTTTACAGAGAGTGAAGAACATGCGCGGCGTTTGGAGTATAGTTCAGTCTGTCACATCCCTTTGTTTGGCGGCTGCTGTCTTGGAGAAAAGTCCCCTGATGACCAAAATTTTCACGTGTTGAGTTCTGAGTTACTTGTTCATTAAATGCGTTAATGGTTCTTTATTTAAAAAACATGGACTTTTTATTTAATATGAGGTTTTCTTTGGGAAAAAGAATTTGTACAGGCGATCAAATAGGGATTATAACTGGCTGGATGAAGTCGATGAGTAAGCAAGGACTACCTACAGTTGGAAAGAGGTCTTGATAAGTTTTTGCAGAAATGAACTCCATTCACTGCCAACTGGAGGATCTTCAAGTGAACTCTCAGTAAACACAACTTCCAAAAATAGCATCAAATCTGATCTAATAAAAATCCATTTGTTTAGTATGCCAAAAAACATGTTTATAATATATTGCTGCACATGATCAGAGAGTGTTTAATTACAATTGATTGTTGATATATTTATGAATATATATTATATAAAGAAATATTGAAACGCTTAGGCCAAAACTATATATATTATGTATGAATATATATATGTTGTATCAAAGACAATTCATAATAAATTATTAGGCTTTAATTATGGTAAATTAAGTACAAAAAAACGGCAATTGCTCAGATATTACTATATAATTTAAGGTCTAATGATTAGAGTCTAGAGTATTTACATGTTTCAATTCGATTCAGTTTCATATATATAAATGTTATATATCTATATCTATATGATGAAGCCAAGTGTGGATTAACAAATGTTGAGCAGGATATACAAGATATATATATATATATATAAATAGCATATAGATGATTGGTATTATTATAGCACCCTGCACAGTGGTGCAAAAAAAATATATATATATATATATATATATATATATATATATA